TCAATACCTTCAGAAATGGCTTCTTTCTATAGATGCTTTAGGAGGAAAATATGGGGAGAGCATCAATTAAAAAAACACACAAATCAAATGAAATGTCAACTCTGTTTTGATTAAAGCCCCTTTGTAAGGCTATATCATCTTTGGGGACACCAAAGAACCTCATACTTAAATTTAGCTGAAGGGTGTGGCTTTATTTAGAGCTATCTGAATAATCTCCATCTCACTCTGAAATTTATTATTTGCTTTTCTCCAGGAGTCTCCAATGTGGCAGTGGCAAAGTCCCACTGACTTACTCTTTGGCACCCACTGGCTCTCTTCCCAAATTTTATTTTTTGGGTAACATTTAACTTCAGAATGAATGGGAAAATAGCACACTGCAAAGCAAAGCCCTAGTTGCAAACAAACTGTTTCCAACAATGCCCTGGGCTATATAGACCACAGAGTGTTGTAGAAAGTAAAATGGTGCACAGCCATTGCTTGACACTTTGCTTCCCTTGCGGGTATTTTCTGATCAGCTATTCCCATGACATGTCCTCAGAATTTCACCTATGGAATTGGCTAAAAAGGGTTGGTGGGTGCCTGGCTTTTTCATTTATACCCTGTCTTTCCACTAAGAAGCCCTGGGAACTGAAGGCAATGACACAGGAAATCAGATGGTTGTTTCTAACAAGGAAACATGGGTCAGAGCTGCCTCTTAAGGTTGCGACCAACCGTTCTAGTTAAGGCAAGCACGCCCTTGTTGGCAAGGAGTCCTCGCTTGGCAAGGAGCCTCACTGAGCATCAATCTCTGCCAAATCCAAGCGCTTGGAGGCTGCGATTGCTCCACCTGTTCTGATGCTGCCCGCATTTGATCAGCCTTGGGTGATTCCTGGCTTGGTGTCTCCGGGGGCTGGCATACCACTGGTATAGCTGGAGCAGCTTCTTCAGATTCAGAGTCTTCTGACTCCTGGGCCAAAACACTATCTTGACCTGAGGAAAAGTATAACCCTTCTGCTTGAGAATAGGATTGGAGGAGTCAGAGCAGGGATTGGATTTGAAATAGTCAAATCTCAAAAGTCTAGTAAGATACCCGGGGTCTATCCAAACAGCCATTTTGAAAGAGTATGGTATGAACAATGTATTTACAAACGCTGCATTCCTCCCTGGTACTGTGCTGTGAATTCCCCTTTTTGTCCTAGGCAGCCCAATTTATAAAGGGGAGATCAGCCTGCCATACAATAAACCCCTCTGCCTTTCCAAATTGAAAGGTGGGCAAAATACTGTTATTTAATGGAGGCATTTCCCCAGTGCTTCTTGCTTAGTATATATCTGCACTAAACCCCTGTATAAAAGAGGTCTGGTTAAACATTATCCAAGGAGATTCATCTGCAGGAACCAGGTGTCCAGTTTTTTTAGGCAGCCAAATCAAAGTGCCCCTGGAAGACAGTGCCTGGCCACCAGATGGGTCAGGGCATGTCTATAGCAGCCTAAAGGAGTCAATAGGAGCTGGGTGGATCCCAGCCCCTAGCTGTGCATCTCCAACATCGTCACCAAAGCACTGCAGATAAATTCTACAGCAAGAAATTGTGCTGGGAGAAGCAGGGATGAAGAGAATGTTATTTTAAAAGTGAAACAACTAAATACAAATTAAGCTGCCTTTGTGGGTAGGCACGGGGTGAATTGAGGATGATGTCATGAGGCTGTGTCCTCTAAAAATGGTTACTAGGGCATCTTTGGGCCACAGTGAGCAGAATACAATGATCCCTAAATGGATTTCTTCCAGCTGAGTGCTGTCTCAAGAAGGTTAATTACCTGCTCTGGAAAATGAAGGGAATCTTCAGGGAGGCCCTGGGCTGTTTGACCGCCTTGGCCCAATTTGGAAAAAAGTGCACTATAGGAAACAGTTAACAGGCAAATTTAAGGTGCAGTATAGGGTGCAAAGATGCCATTCTGACCAGCCGATGTCTTGGCAGTAATAATGCTTCAGGACTAGACCATTCTTTAACCAACATTTTGTTACAGGTCTTTTCACAGACCAGGCAGATGGGCCTTATGTATTCTGATGTGTCTATGGAAGCAACTTTCTTTAGTTTAATAGTGGTAGCAGTCATGAGTGAGAAGACTTATAAACAAGGGATTTGTTCTATAGGCTTATAAACATGGGGTTCCCTGTTCTATACATGTTTACCTGTTCCTTGCTTTACTGTGCAAATAGGCTGTATCCTGGTAACTATCAGAGTTGGAATTGCTATACAGATCTCTTATGTGTAGTTGTGTCAGCCTTGCACAATCTAGCATCCTCTATACAGGACCCATAATCTCCCATTGTGACTAGGGATTATAGAGGTATTCCAGCATACCTGGAGGTCAGTATTTTGCGAAGAACAGGATTATATTTTCCATGATGCCACAAAAAGGTCAACATGATTTGAGGTTTCCCTAAATTCCCAGGTATATATGTCATAAAGGCCAAAAGAGGACAAGGTATATGGCATGAAAAATGGTAAATTATAAATTGGTGTAGGCAACAAGATGATCTTCAGTACTAGCTTGTCCACATGTATCCCTCTTGGCTCTGCCATGATCCATTCCCAGGTTATTTTCAGATTCTTTTAATTTAGATAAGAGGCAGATAAACTACAAAACAAAGTGCCAGTTCTACCATCTTCCAGCTCCACATATGCCCCAAAGGCATTTTTATAAAATAAAAACGATGGATGGCTAAAAACCATGGCTTTGTTTGAAAGTGTCCTCACATGCAAGGGGGGGACAAAAACCCGGGGCTGATGTTGCAGCATCTTGTTTTCTAATTTCTGTGCCAATTTTGATACTCAGGATGGCCATTGTGTGAGAACATTTCCTGTGTTCTCTCAAAATTCCCATTAACTTAAAAAAGGTGAGGCATAAGGCAGCCCATCATTTTATTCATTTTTTAAAGATTTTTTCCCCCGCCTTTGTTATTTTTTTTATAAATAACTGAAGACAGTGAACACACCTAATACTCCTTCCTCCTCCTATTTCCCCACAACCACAACCCTGTGAGGTGAGTTGGGCTGAGAGGGAGGGACTGGCCCAAAATCACCCAGCCGGCTTTCATGCCCAAGGTGGGACTAGAACTCACCGTCTATTTTATCCATCACAATGACTTACAATTTAACCTACTGAGAATGAAAGAAAAGGGCAAAAAGCATTGATGTCTTTGACAGCGTATGCTCTCATCAAGAACCGCCTGCCTCAGCTGCCCGTCTTCATCCGGGCTCACAGGCCTGGAATTAGCATGACGAAGGAGGGTTTACCCAAAGGAGGGGGCATCAGTGGCTTTCCAGATGTTGCTAAACTGCAGCTCTCAACATCTTTCGCCACTGTCCGTGCTGGCTGAAGCTGCAGTCAATCACAGACTGCTTCCCCACCACCCTGAATCAATCTCACTAGTTCTATAGGATAATTGAAGAAGGCTTCAACAGCCCTTTCAGGGCATAATTGTCTCAGTTGTATTATTTGTCTTTGCATTAATTCATATGCTGCCTCCTAATCCTCCATCTACACATATTTCTAAGGACTAGATGCTTGGGTGAGAGATTTTATCATATGCTTTTAGGATTTCCAAATACACAAATTTAATTACAACCTTCATCTATCCTGGTACCTGCTAAATATTTTGGACCACAACTCCCATTATCGCTAGTCCGCATGGTCACCATATTGATTGAGAATGCTAAGAATAAGATCTGGAGGGCATCCAGTTGAGGGAAGCTGGCTATTAAATCACTGGCAACTACCCGTTTAATGGATTTCAAAGAACTCTGGTTTTTGGTTCTCTTCCAACCTTCATACTTTTACTTTGATAGATTTTAGACTTCCAAAAATGAGGAACAATTATTTGCTCTTTCCCCTCTTCCCAGATGGTTTTGGAGAGTCCCTGTTGCAACCTAGCACCACTTATATGGCCCACTTTGTATGTCTTCAGACATTCATCACACTCTATTCCCAGCTATAGTCTAGTGCAGCCATGGCTTAAAAATTAGCTCTGTATTTTTCTTTTTCCTGGACTGTTATAATTCTTTAAGTTTTCACATTGCTTCAGTTTCAAAGGAGGCGATCTATAGGTTCACATGTGTCACATCAATTTAATTCTGTTTTATTCCACGATGGGTGGTTACCATGTTTTTTTAAATTATCATTTAAAAACAAAGATAAAATATAGTGTTAATATTGGATTTAAACAGTACAGACCAGGGTTTCTATACCTCAGCAACTTTAAGGTGGGTAGACTTCAACTCCCAGAATTCCCCCAGCCCGCATACTGCCTGGGGAATTCTGGGAGTTGAAGTCCACCCATCTTCAAGTTAATAAGTTTGAGAAACCTGGTACAGACAAAAGGCAAATTATGAAATGGCTCAAACAATATTAATTTGGTTAGGACTTACAGCGATCAGCATTAAAAAGTAACTCTAAAAGAGCTGCTAATAGGCTGAGCTACAAATAATAAAGGTGGCATTATGGGGAGTGTGGGAATAAGCCTGTAGTACAAAACAAAGTGAGTAAAAAATGGCCAAAAGTGTTAGAATTTCCCAAGGGTGCCCAGTGTACTCACAGAGCAGGTTTTCCTTGTGGATTAGTTCCTCAATTAGTAGAATGCAGCCAGGAAGACCATCTGCCCACAGCTATTTGGATTATGCCCCCTGGAAGCGTCTGCAGTCTTTGAAAATAATTCTGAACAATTGGCTCCATGTTCCATTATCACACAGCTACGGCAGTTCCCAGCCACAGCTCAGTGGCAGAAGTTTGGAGGTACAATCCTCCTTGTCCCCAATCACCAGGACCTTAGAGAACCAAGAAAACATACTAAGCTGGACAGATCTGTGGTCCTATTTGATATAGGAAAACTTTGTATGTTGTTGCCTTGATAACACTTTTAGAGACAAAGCTTAGGAGAGCATCACTTCTATGCCTGATGGAAGAGGTGGATAGGGGGAATACACGTACGCACAGATCGCTACATAACAAGGAAACTGGTCTGCGGTAGTGAAAGATAATTTAGGATATATTCTGGAAACAAGCATCATACAATAAAAGGAAGAAGAGTGCATAAAAACCCACACAAGAATGAAAGGTTTTAAAAACAATAGGTTTCCAGGCCCAGCCCATCAGTGTCAGACTTCTCTCTTAGAATCTAACATCCCTCCACCCTAAATGGCCTGTTCTGGTTTGGGGTAAGTTTTCAAGAATACTAGATCTGATACATAAGTGGGCATGTAGCTCAGAGGGAGGTAAAAGAGTTTGGCATCCCAACCAGGTGAGTAGCGGAACCGGGGATGCACAGCAGTCAGTGCGTGTTCCATGCAGTTGGTGACCAGAGAAAGATTAGGAGAGCAGTTGGCTTGCATCTCATTCACTCCTTTGAGCACTACAGAGAAAGAAAAGGAAAAAAATAATAATAATACAGCTGCTCTTCACAAACTGTAAATTAATACCATCCCAAGCTCTCATTCAACACTCCTGAATACAAATGGCCTAGGCCATACCTATTCTTTCCAACCACAACTTTTAGCCGTTACAAACTTAGGTGCCTGAAATTAATATCTTGAGAAGCAAGCTTCCATTTATCAAATAGTCAATGTGATAAGAATGCATTCAGCCAGAAATAATGCTCGGGTCAACAGCATAATTTGAACATATAGAAGACATCCTGTAGATGTGTGTAACTCACTGCATTGGCTCCAAGAAGACTGATCTCTTTCCACCAATTTACAGGGGAGGCTCTAAGCATCTCCCATCCAGGCATACATTATGCCCACAGCAGCTTAGCAATTGGTCTGTGTGTGTGTGTGTTTATTTATTTATTTATCAAATTTGTATGGCCACCCATCTCACAAAAAAGTGACTCTGGGAGGTGTACAACACTTACCTAAAAAACCAATAAATATATAAAAACATTCATTTTTAAAAACTATTTAAAAACTATATTAAAAAAAATATTTAAAAGTTCCCTGGGAGTTTCTGAAGAAAGCTAGGACAGTTCAGAAAGCCAGGAGAGTTTAGTTTATGTAAATTTCTAAAGTTATTAGAAAACAAAAGCCAAACATTCTAAAAATCCAGCATGCCATTTTTGACACATGAGGTAGAAGCAAGGCACAGAGAGCAAAGAGATACAGATGTTTACACTAGTAAAACAGTTTCCATGGAATTAGACTTCCCAAAGTTTGAGTCAGCTTCATATGCTCCATATATAAATCATGTAATTATATGTTCTTCTTTCTTATATGTTTTCCCCTAATATTATGGACATTGAGAACAACATATTTATTTTGGAATCCAGTTGAACAAAGTTAATGTGACCTTTATTCTGAGCATGACAATATTCATTTCAAGTTTCTAACCCTTTCAATTGCAAGGACAGGCATGAAATTCTTCAGGTAGTTGCCAACAGGATTTTGTGAAGCCCACATAGACATAAATCCACCTATATTGTATAGAACAGGTAAGGAATGGTGCTAAGGCAGTGTTGTCCAAACTTGGCCACTTTAAGAAGAGTGGACTTCAACTCCCAGAATTCCCCAG